CCTCATCTTTCTCCCACGGAGCGGCTGGTAGTTTCGAACCGCTGACCTTAAGGTTTGCAGCCCAATTCGTAACCACTACTCTACCAGAGCTCCTTCTTTAGGCCCTCCATTATATGTTTTTATTACTAATGTGAATTTGTGATTATAGTTCTGATCCATTCTTATGCTGAACAAGTCTCCTTATGCTTTTGCTAATACTCAAGAGTAGTATAAAATGTCCTTTGGCTACTATTACTCTCTTAATTACAGTGCCGTAGCACACTTTCAGTTTTCTATTTAGATTAAAATTCTTCCCTCCCTCTTTTTTGAAATGTGGAGTTTTCTACTGTGGTGCTGTTTGGTCTTTTCTAACTAGTGGTAAACTAAAATCATAACTTGATGTCATATCTCTCTCTACATGCTGTTTTTAAAGCTACTAATATTGTATCATTGTAGTTTATTTGGATTATGGTTATTTTGAGCAGAATATTTTGATAAACACATTTATGTATATACTGGCTTTTGTCAAATCTGAATATGTTATTCATTTTCTTGTTTCCTGATTTTCAGGAATAAAATGAAAAGAGGTTTTTATCTTTTAGTATATAGACTTTCACAAGTTTTTGATAGCATGGAAAAGCCACAGCCTATTGCTTTGTTTTGTTAGAGCATGTTCTTTGTATCACAATGGTTCAGGAAGGCACATTTGTTTCTTAAAACATTTGTAGTCAGTGATTGGCACTCCCTTGATTTTTGAGACTTTCCTTTTTTTGGCTAGAAATTGATCTTTCTAAACTTGCCATCATAAATGTTCTGTTTATTTACTGTCTGATCTGATAGTATAAGCCTATAAGGAGCTCTGGTAGCGTAGTGGTTATGAATTGGGCTGCAGACAGCAAGGTCAGCTGTTGAAACTACCAGCTGTTCCGCGGGAGAAAGATGAGGTGTTCTACTCCCATAAAGATTTACAGCCTCAGAAACCCTGTACAGAGTCACTACCAGCAGTTCCGCGGGAGAAAGATGAGGTGTTCTACTCCCATAAAGATTTACAGCATCAGAAACCCTGTACAGAGTCACTATGATTCGAAACTGACTCCACGGCACACAGCCACCACCATGAAAGGTTTTCAAAATGTTAACTTGATCATTGTTTTATTATTTTAGATAAACAAATGCTAATAAAATGTTTTTTTTTTTTTCTTTTTTAGCACTCACTTTTGCTTTGGGTACTCTACTCGTATGTGTGTCTATATATCTTTATGGATTACCCAGACAAGACACCATGTCCATCCAAGAAGGAGAAACAGCTTCAAAAGACAGAGTCAGTGGTGTGTGATTTCAGTCACAAGAGATTTCCATTAAGACATTTGCATTAAACTAGAGCCTTAAGTCAATCCCTGAGGGAAGCTTAAACAAACAAAAACAACAAAAATTAATTACATGAACTTAGAATTAAGAAGAAAGCTACTTGAGCTTTCTAATGTGGAACTGTTTGGAATCAAACTGTTTTTAGAATGAAGCAATTTTACTGTATATATAATGTGCATATAAAATATGGAGATGATGTAGTTAAAAATCATGTGAGACTACAAATGGTGTTGGGACACTATTTAAGAGTGAGACTACAAATGGTGTTGGGACACTATTTAAGAGTTAAAGTGCCAAAGCCATTTCTGTACTAACTGTTATCTTGTTCAGGTACCAGGGGAGAGGGGCGGACCATCCTTGTTCTACATTCACGTACAGTAGTGTCCCAGTCTTCCCTTACAACAGAGGCAGAGACAAGACAGGCTAGTTCAGAAACAAATTGAATGTGTAACTCTTTCTCAAAATGAATCTGTTACGTAACTCAGACAGTGATTTCTGAGTGGTGACTGAGTACTCTTTTAGTGCTGTATTTGTGCCATTCATTGTCTGTAATTCATTTCCTTGGTTGTTAAACTACATACTTCAAAAAAATTTCTAATGTCACTTTTGTACTTTTTTTTATAAAGTATGTTTAACTGTTAGGCTTTCAATAATTTGTGAAATTTCAGTGTTTTTAAAAAAGATTTCTATAATGTTAATGGGAAAATTCAGCAATAAACTTATAATTTATTTATATGAATTTTCTAATCACATTTTGTGTGATAGACATGACCATTAAGATATGCAGAACCAAAACAGAAAACCCAAAACATTATGTTTTTTCTTTTCTATATGTTGGATTGTATGCTAAAAATGGTTGATAGAAAGGACAGCAGTCAGGGCTACAGGGCTGTTAGTTGTAGAAATTAATCAGTAGTCCTTTCAGGGAACTGCTTTTGGAAAGATGTGACTTTAACCATACCGTCACTGCATCATTTCACTCAAGATTCAAATGCTCATGAAACTATCATTGATCTGAGCGAAGGAAAGTTTCTCAGAAGAAGTGGAAGGAAATACTAGACATGTCCCAAATGTATTATTTTTATTCCATTACGGGTTGTGCCAAGGGAATTTTAATGTTACTTCAAAGAGAAAATTAGTGATCTTTAAATTCACTTATAATTGAGATTGTATGGCTGAGTCTTTTCTAGGACTAAGATGGTTAACCATATCAGCCAATGCAAAACAGTGCTCACTTTAATTAAAGAAGTTTTGGCTCAAGCTAATTTGCGCTCTTCATAACAATAGATTGATCGTAATATCCAAAAGTCTTGTAGCACTACTTAGAAAAAAAATTATAGCAAATCTGAATGGGAATACTGACAAATGGAGACGGCCATACTACTTAAACAGGGTACACAAATTATAGTCGCTCCTTGGAAACCCTCTACAAAGTTGCTATGAGTCAGAACCGGCTTGGCGGTACTTAACATGTTGATACCTGAAGAAAACTGTTTGAGAAACTCCCATTTCAGATTATGAGTAACCTCATTTTTGGGAAAACATCTTTGTACAATGTCTACAGTAAGTGTTTAGGTATATTCAGTTCCTGAGTTCATATAGTAAAAGATACCTGTATATATCAACTAAAAGTTAGACATAAGATCTGTACTCTTGGGGCCTATGTGTCAGCTACATTGACAAAAAGATGTCTTAAAACTTAGAACTGTCACAAGTTTGAAGAAATTGAAATTTCTACTCACCAGTGATTTCGTTTTAGGAAAAGGTTAGATCTCAGTTATAAGAATAGTTTCTAGAAGAATCTCACTGCAAGAAACCGCAAGCCAGAGTTTAAAGGTTAATCTTTTACCCTATTAGACCATAATGCTTTGTATTTAAAAAGCCTCAAATCTTACTTCATGTACATTTAGTACCTGGTGTTGGCACTGTAGAATAAACCTGGATTGGTAACTTTGCAAGGTCAGCAGTTCAAACCCATCAGTTGCTCTTGGAAACCCTATACAGGGTTGACTATGAACCACCAGGGATTGGCAGTTTGAACCAACCAAGCAAATGACTGGCCATCTGCTTCTGAAAAGGCCACAGCCTTGAAAACTCTACAGAGCAGTTCTACTCTATACAAATGGGGTTGCTAAGGATAAAAACTTAAGACATTGATAAATCACTTAAATTTAATAAAATACAGATTCTGACACAGAATAATAGTTTAGATCCTATTTTGAACAGCCAGGTATCTAAGATTATATAACTAGAATTCATTTAGCAATGTAAAAGCTGTTATCATTAGAGATTACATCCGAGATACAGGTGTTATTCCAAGAAGTTTCATTCCATTGGCTAGCACTGAACGGACAGCTCTGAAAAGATGAAGTCTGGCCTGTAAAACAAATAAAAAATGATGAAATGTTTAATTCAGTAACAGACTGGATATTAAGTGAATGTTTCTAAAAGTAATTTTTTTTTTTTTCCTAATTTAAAAAAGGACAGCATCTCTGAATGCCTTGGATTGCAGACAAGGAAAGATATAATTCTAGTATCCCTCACACGTAACATTGGTCCACACAGGATTGTGGAGTGGGTGGCATGGGGCAGTGCTATCATACCATCCAGCTTCAGATAAAAGAATTCAGCATTATTGAGACTTGATGTAAGAAATGGATTTCATTCTAGCATGTTAGAAAGTATTGTTACAGGCTAAGTCTAAAAACTTGAGTCAGTAAGTATACTAAGTAGCTGAACAACAAAAATCTCCTTCAGAAAATATTTCAAAACTGATAATAACAGAAAACACTCAGCATAACATACCCCAGCCACTTCAGGTGGACTGCCTTTTATTTGTAGTGTTTTATGTGCCATAGCTGAAAGATGACTGAAATAGGAAGAGGGAAACTATGATCAGGACAAGTGTAACTCTCGACTGGAACACATGAGTTTGATAGCTAATTTTACTTCACCAATATAAAAACAATAAAAGCTTAGAACCATTGTAAGACATATCCAAAGTTGCAAATTAGAGACTGGAATTCACTGCTTTTCTATAATGGGCATATATTAATCTCCACTTACAGCTTTGGTCCCTGTTCTACAATTACCAGGTAGTAAGTTTTTAAGATGATAATTTCATTGTCACGCTTAGAATTGCTGTCAACTCATGGAAGCAGCAGTCAAGAACTCAAATGGCATATTACATTAGGCAAATCTGCACAAGACCTTTTTAATGTGTTGAAGAGCAAAGATGTCAGCTTGAGGACTAAGATGCACCTGACCCAAGCCATGGTATTTTCAATAACCTCATATGCATGCGAAAGCTGGACAGTGAATAAGGAAAACCATAGAAGAATTAATGCCTTTGAGTTGTGGTGTTGGCTGCCAAAAGAACCAACAGATATGTGTTGGAAGAAGTGCAGCCAGAGTACTCCTTGGAGGCCAGGATGGACAAACTTCATCTCTCATACTTTGGACATACTGTCAGAAGGTACCAGTTGCTGAAGAAGGATATCATGTTTGGTAAGGTGGAGGGTAAGAGAAAAAGAGGAAGACGCCCAATGAGCTGGGTTGGCCAAGTAGCAGCATCAATGGGCTCAAGCGTGGCAACGATAGTGGGGTTGGCCCAGGGCCGGGAAGTGTTTCGTTCTGCTGTACATAAGGTCACTATGAGTCGGTACTGACTCAGTGGCATCTAACAACAACAACAACTGTCTGATACTATTTACCCTCATTTAGCTATCCTATATAATGAAAGGTACAGAATAGCATTTCTCCCTCTTGTACGCTGAGGAGGCAGGAAGGCGTGCACTATCAATCCACTCTACATCTGCTGGCCTCCCATCTTTCTGTTTAGGTATAGCAGCAAGTAGAAGAATGTACCAAAGAAATGACTTTCTGGTTTCTTTACCTCTCTATGTCTCAGTGGAATTTCAAAGTCTTAAGTTTCAGTAAATCTTAAAAGCAGAAATTTCCTTTATTAAATGTTTTTATGGAAAGATATATCTGCTGTTATGTAAGAGTAGACTCAATTTCTACTCAAAGGTAACCAAAACAGCTACCATGAAATTTCTATCGAGAGTATCACTGATTTGCCTCCCAATTTATTCTTCACTCTCTAGCTGCCTGGGTTTTTCTGCACCTCTGTTTAAAGCCCTTTCATAGGCTCCAGTGCTTTGAAATAAAATCTAAATGCCTTAAGTGCTCATACATGGTGAAATGGTTTGTGCATGCTTCATTTCTTATTCCTCCCAGGATTATGCTTGTAGTTTCCTTAATGCATCATGATATTCCCTGACTCTGGGCTTTTCCTACTCCCCTACCACCTGCAGCTACTGATTAATACTCCTTTCCTGACAGATCTCCTTGGATCCATCAAGACCTGGCCAATGCCTTAATACCATCTCTAATAAGGATAAGTCAAAAAGTATTGCTATTTGGGTTCCAGTTCATACATGTATGGATTTTTCTACTCAAAACATGTTTGAGCAAATTTCTGCAAACAGTGGATGATTGCAGACAAGTTCAGTAATACACTTAGTCTTGGTAGCATCGAAAAAGAGGTTACTTTTGTCCATGGGGAAAAAAATGATTTTGAGGTCAGGGCTAATTAGCAAATTATTAACAAACTCAAACAGACATCTTAAATTACTGAAGCTTTGAAACAAGTATATGGGAAAGCTGTCACACATAAAACCACCATTTTTAAATGGATCAAGCATTTTAAGGAAGGTGGTGGTTAAGGGTCACCAAGTCGGTTCCAACTCAGCGACCCGTTATGGGGTTTTGAGAAGCAGCTGGTGACTGAACCGCTGATGCTGAAGTTCAAAGCAACCTTGTGGTATAGTTGAGAGGACCTCAAAAATAAAGTCAAGGTAGAGGGTTTAGTTCTGCAGGTTACAGTGATGACTTTTAGGGATTTCCAAGGAGTAACACCTTGCCAGATTTTCTTGAAGGTCACAGAAAGACCATAGGAACTTATAAAGATGTTAAAAGAAAACTGAAAATTACAATGGTGAGAAAAAGTTCAGGAAAGTTGGACCCAGGAATTTTTTGCATGACAATGCACTTGCTCATTTTTCAAGTGCAGCAAAGGTTGTTGTAGAGCGTATTGTTGGGAAACCTTATCCTATTGACCCGACAGCCCTGATCTTACCCATTTACACTTGTTTTTCTTCCCAACTCAAAGAACACTTAAAAAGAACACTTTGAGTCCCTCAAGGATGCCCAAACTGTCTTTTTGATGTGGTGTAAATGTGAGGGCACAGAATTCTTCAGGTATGGATTAGAGAGATGGAAACATCATCTTCAGAAGTGTATAGATCCAGATGGAGGACATACTGAAAACAATAGCTTCACATTTTTATATTTTTGTTTAATAAAGGTTTCTATAATTTTATAGCCATACTACTTTTTAAAATTTATTCTGGTATGTTAGCTCTACCTAGCAATAACACTGTAGTATTAACGGTCCCTCTTCACTAGACTCTAGTGGCCACAACTTATACCACTGAATACATTAATGAATGAACATTAATTGCTAATTTGCAAAGGTGAAACAAGAATTTCTGTAACTTAAGCATATTACTTTATAGCCTGAAGAGTTTGTTTATAGGAAATTCCATATTACAGAAACGTTCTTTGCCAGACTAGGTGGTCTCAGATGTCACTTAATTTTTGAAAACATCAAGATACACATGAAAAATTTATTCTTGTGAATTCCCTCTTAAAGCAATAGAAAATGAGTAGCAATATGCTGAATCACATATTTGTCATATCTCTTTTCACTATTAGGTTCCATGTAAATAGTTCAAAGTCCTTTGGCAGCAATACAATGTTAAAGTACCTGAGAGTTAGAAGATAACTGGCAATATGCTTGGGCTGACAGTCCTGAGACGATCTATAAAGTACCTCGTCGAACCTGAAAGATAGATGACAGGAGCAGTTGCCAGGGGAAGACAGTCCATATGTTACAACAGAATATTAAAGACCTTAGATGTAAGATTGACTGGACTCCACTAAGAATAAAAGACAACATTAGAAAAGACCTTGTGTACATTTGAAAGCAAAGGCACTTTTTTTTGGTATAAATTCCTTGATGGCAGGGACTTTCTAAGTCATCTGGTATTCCTTAGGCCTAAGCCAGAGCAAGGACTCTAAGCATGATTGTTAAATTGAGTATAAAAAGCCTCCAGTCATATTTAGAACCACCATCAACAAATTAGCTAACAGACCTATCTATACTCAAAATGTCCAGAAATCCAGGCTGGCTTATTTCCCCTCACAGATTGGCTATACATGAGTAAAATAACTCCTGGTCCCAGGAAAGCCATGGACCATGACGTAACAATCCGAGAAAACTGCATTGAGCCTCATCATCCACATCCCCTCCTGAGACTAATCTCTACAAATCTGATTTCACCAATTGAGCTTGTGAGAGCTAAAAGGTGTGATCTCTTGCCCAGTGTTCTGATATGATGCATGGCTGTGGTCTGAACTCAAGAGTCAAATGAAGTACATATGGTCTCAGAGACAACACAAAGGCAGAGGTTTTTATGACTTCATCACAGAGGCTGAAAAGATGGTCTCTTCAAAACTCTTGTTAAGTGCCATCGAGTCGATTCTAACTCATAGCGACACAGCATATGGTTTCCAAGGCTGTAAAGCTTTATGAGATCAGAAAGCCACATCTTTATCCTGCAAATTGGCTATTGGATTTGAACTGCTGGCCCTACGGTTAACAACCCAACACGTAACCCACTAAGCCCTCCAAAAGTAGTGTTACATTTTTGACTAGATGTCATGTTCTCATGTCTGAAGCTAGAGGCTGCTCATCATTTGTGCTTACTCATCAGTGGTAAAATTTTTAAGACCTGAGGTTTGACCCTGAACACAGGCTTAATCTATTATGCTCTCAGTCTGCTCTCAAAGGAAAAACACCACTTTGGGGCCATATCTTTAGGAAAATGTTGTTCAGAGGCAGGAGCCAGCTACCGACGTGTTCATTCCATCGTTGCTGTTTGCTTTAGAGTTGATTCTGACTTACAGTGACCCTATACAACAGAGTAGAACTATGTAGTAGAATTTCCTAAGCTAAAATCTGGAAATTGATGACCAGGTTTTTTCTTTCTCGGAGTTGCTGGTGTGTTCGATCAGGTAACTTTTTTCCGTTCGCAGCTGAGCACTTAACCAGTTTGCCATTAGGCCCCTTTCTGTTGACTCCTGTGGTCAGCAGAAATGCCAACCACTATTCACTAAGCACAAGATCCTTGATAATAGAAGAGAAACTTCATACCTTAGAAGATGCTGGAGAATTGAAACAGACTGTGGCTCTTGTAAGCAAGTTGTGTTGAACTCATTCAGATAGCCACACCCAAAAGTTTCTTCCAAACTGTTCATTAAAAGTTCAGAATTAAAAACAGTAAAAGATAATGCAAGTCCTGGAAACATAGATACAAATGATGAACATCATCTAATGATACACAATCTTGTTCTCCTTTAACTATGAAGATAATAACATTGTTTGACTAGAAGCTTCAATTTCCCCTAAATCTGTTTCTTGGCAGGGCTATTCTGAGGACTAAATAATGTCCAGAAAAATCTTTCTTAACTAGGTGCTCAATAAATAATCAGATGTTGGAGAAGCCCACAGTACAGAGCCCTTGGCCTGGAACTGCAATAGCCAGGTGTGTCCAGTGAAGGGCAGAGAGGCCCAGGGTTTTCCTGCAGCCCCTTCTCACCTGTGCAGACGTGCATGTGTGTACTGTAGAAAGACTCCTGTGTCCCCGCGACTCTGGAAAACACGATCCCAGCTGAACTGATAGTCAGATAATAGTAAACCTCTGAAGTCCTAAAATAATAAAGAGTAAATCTTTAGCTATGGGATTTGTTCTGGTGCCAAAGAAAAGGGTCTCTCAGATGTCTTTACAGACCTGAATAATGAGTGCTGCAAGGCCGACTCTTTCTGCAGTCTCCTGTGGGTTCTCAAGTTCTTTAGTTGCTGAAACAGACAAAGGCAGCTATCTTTAATCCGCCAAAATCATGATGAACATGGACATAGAATTTGCCAAATTTGTATGCTGACAGTATCGAGAACAAACACATTCACATTAGGCAGTTTACTGCCTACATGAAAAGGGAAGACAAGTTACTGATAAATACAAAGTTTATTTTTCTTATCCCTTGCAAGACTTTAGATATAGGTACCTGATGCTTATTTTTCTAAGGATGAAGGTTAGACAAAGTCATAGGGACTTGTGATTTATATCCAATTATATACATAAGAACTGTGCATGACCACTTGGACAATGGAATAATGCTGCTGAGAATATCAATAAAAACAGAACCACGGTTACTGAAATTCAGATTATGGAAATAAAATATTCCTGAGCAGTAACTCAAGAATCTCTGGTATCACAAATTAGAGAAAAGCTATTTTCAACAAAGTTAGTGAAAGTTAAATGGAGGAACAGTTATAATAATTCACCTTGCACAAAAGTCCACCAAAAAAACCTAAAAGTAGCACACAAGGTTTGAAAACAACGAAAAAGTGAATTTACTCTTAATGGACGCCATATTCTGTAGCATTCTTAATCGAATCTCATTTAAAACGTCTTCCAGAAAAGTAACGTCTCCTCTTCGAGTCTTCATTCCCTGCACTACTCCAAAGGGCACATGTTGGCACCTGAAATGGGAGTGAGTGTTAGAGTATCTGAAAAGGAAAAAACGATATAATACCCTCTTTTGAGAGAGCAGGTGAATTTTAGGAGTCCTGGTGTGGTGCTTCGTTTGAACTGCAAGGTTGGTGGTTCAAGCTCACCAGGTGTTCCTTGGAAACCCTATACAGGGTTGCTGTGGGTTGGAATCGACTCAATGGCACTTAACAACAACAAGGGCTTTGTAAAAAGGAATACACTGAAATACAACCGGATTTAAGCAGTTTCATTTTAAAAACAATTTAAGTAAGTGAATAAATTACTCCCATTACTAGCATAGTGGTTATGAGTCGGGCTGCCAACCTCAAGGTTAGCAGTTTGAAACTACCAACCGTTTGGCAGGAGAAAGATGAGGCTTTCTGCTCCCATAAAGATTTACAGCCTTGGAAACCCTGGGCAGGGTCACTATGAGTTGGAACCGACTCCAACAACAACAACCTTTATGAAAACAAGGAGATGGAGATTAATTATTTTTAAAATCAAGCCCCTGAGAGCAGATAACTAACAAAAAATGCATTGATTAAAATGTTTATAAAGTAGATATGACTATAACCAGGACATAAATTAATGTAAAAAATCAAGGCTGCTTAAAATCTTGAGACAAAGAGTTGACGTTTGCATTTAAATCTAACAACTGGGTACAGTTTTTAACTTGGCTGATCAAGCAAAGCTTTAATGAACCTGACCGGGCAAATAAGAACCAAACAGATAGTACCTCTCTGCCCAGTCATATCCCATGAGCTTCAGCATCTGGAACACTTGCTGAAAATGCTTTCTTTGTCCTTTATCTGTCTTAAGGAAGAAAATGTATTTGGAAAAAGAGACAGTAATAAATTAATCTACAAAAATAGTTTGGACATGAATCAAATGAACATATTTGGGTTTTAACAAACTAAAGTCATTATCAATATGTTTTAAAATTTTATAAACATACTTAACATATTCATTTAAAAAATAAACACACAAAAAGGGTGTCTTAAGTGAGTGCTCTCCAATAAGGAAAGATGAGTGTGGGCACTACTTGGACTCAGGAAGAGGGAATTTTAATTGTCTGAGTTCTGTATTTAAATCCCTTCTCCCAGCTGTTAGGACCTTTATCTCTACGTAGGTCATAGCTAAATCCTAAAAAGATGTTTGATGGCACTTTTTTTCCTTCATGGAAAAGGAAGTTGCTTATGGAGAGCCAGAAAAGGGGAGAAGAGATGAACTACTCAGCAATAAAAGGAATGACTACTGCTACACACCTCACTTGGATGGCTCTCAAGGACATTATTCAAACTGAGTGAGAAAAGTCAACCTCAAAGGGTTACATCCCATGTATGTAACATTCTCAAGTGAGAAAACTGTAATGATGGAGACCAGAGATGGAGGTTAGGGTTGGGGGAAGTGCAGCCGTTAAGTGGTAGCCTGAGGAAATCTGTTGTGAGGAAGGAGTCTGTATTCTGACTGTGGTAATGATTACATGAATTTAATGATATTTCACAGAACTAAATACACACAGATAAAAGGTGGAGAAATCCAAATGAGGTCTTCACCAAGTGAATAATATTATACCAATGTGAGTTTCCTGGTATTGACAATGTACTAATGCTTATGTAAGGAGCTCTGGTAGCGTAGTGGTTACGAATTGGACTGTGAACCTTAAGGTCAGCAGTTTGAAACTACCAGCCACTCCACGGGAGAAAGATGAGGCTTTCTGCTCCCGTAAAGATTTACAGCCTCGGAAACCCTGTACAGGGTCGCTATGGGTCGGAATCGACTCCATGGCACTTAACAACAACAACAATGCTTATGTAAGATATTTTCCCCGGGGAAAGGTGGATAAAAGGTATTTGGAAACTGTACTATTTTTGACACTTCCTGTGAAGTCTTACAAATGATTTAAAAATCTAAAAAATAAATTATTATATAAAAAAACTGCACTACCATAACCTGCAATCTTCACATGTTCATTTTCCTGTATCAGCTTATTTTTTTAATAATGAAACAATGTAAACTTTTTCTATTTTTAAAGATGAAAAATAACCAATTTGCCACCATAAATACAAGTAACATTGAAATTTCTTTTTTCCATAGTTTTCGGTATAGCAGCCAATTTCTATCTGTGCAGTTATCATGAAGTAGGGACCTTAATATTTTGATCTTTGTTGTCACTACTTACCACATAAATCATTGTATCAAAATTATACTTGTCCATTCGATCTATAGCAGCTGCAAGATCTCTGAAAGAATGGCCATAAATTAAGAGTTACTATGCTGATCTGGGCAATATTTTGCTTTCCCTATTTAACAGCAATGAACCTTTTCTAATTAAGAACTATCTTCCCACAGCTTTGGGCATATGATGCACACTTCTAATTCCTATACTGCACTAAGATACAAAGTAATAACAAAGATAGCTTTGGGAAAAGCAATGATGATGAAAGCTCAGGAATAATAAAACAAAAGTAAAGGCTCTGGAAAGAGTAGTGATAATAACTGAAATAGCTCTGAGAAATGTTTTGTAGGTAAATGTTTTAACAATTATAGGCATACCTTCTTTTATTGTGCTTCACAAATATTACAATTTTTATAAACAAGGATTGTGGCAACCCTGCATTGAGCAAATCTATCGAAACCATTTTTGAACAGAATATACTCACTCACTTTGTAGTTCTGTATCGCATTTTGGTAATTCTTACATTATTTCAAACAGCACTATGAGATAATGTACTGGACCACAAGGTCAGTTTGAACTGTAAGGTCAGTGGTTTAAATTCACCAGCTGCTCCTCGGAAACCCTATACAGGTTTGCTATGAGACAGAACTGACTCGAAGGCACTTAACAACAGCACTACACAATCGTATAGTGTAAACGTAACTTTGAAAAATCAATTTATTTTCACTTCTGTTGTGAATTGAGTGAAGGTTTACAGAGCAGACCAACAGTTTTACATTCAATAAATCATATAGTTCATTTCACCTAGATTGCAATGCCCTCAATGTAACATCATCACTTACCCTACTTATTCCCTGTGTTTCTTATTTCTAGTCTTCCTTTCCCCATCCTCTGAATTTTGTCCTTCGGTAATTGCTGTCCTTTTGATCCTGAATGGTTGACCATTCTATGGTATGTGTACCTCATTAGTGTTATTGTTCTCCTCTCTCCCATTTATCTATATATTGCTTGGCTGAAAATTGAGCCCCAAGGTTCAGTTCCAGACCTGAACAATAACCAAGGACCATAGTATTAGGATTCTATACAGTCTCTCTCTTACCAGTAAACATGGCAAGATTTTGAGTTTTGTTCCACATTTTCTTCCACTCTATCCAAGACCTTTTACTGTAATCCCTCTCAGAGCACTTGGGAGTGGTAGCTGAGGACTATCTAGTTTTTCTGGTCTCAGGGTCACCAGACTAGTCTGTGGTCCTTTAGTCCCATGACTAACTAAGTAAACATAAGTTTTATATGCACTAGGAAATCAAAACGACTGTGACTCATTTTATTCTGATATGCTAGTGCGATGGTCTGGAACTGAACCTACACCATCTTTGCGGGATGCCTGTAGTTAACTAAGCCTCTACTGGAAAGGATCTCCTGTATCTGCCACTTCTCTGCAATGCATCTTCTTAAAGCACATGTTTAGAACACGATGATGTGGTAGTTAAGCTGGCATCTTCTAGCAACCATTCTATTAGCACCACCAAGGACTCTTAAAGTCCTAGGTCAGTATAAACAGCAAGTTCTAAAGCACTGTAAACGACTCTGTAAGTACTTTAAGGAGCCTTGGTGGCTAGTGGTCATTGGGATGCTAACCCACCAGAGGATGTCTGAGATTGAACAGTCTCAGAAACCCTATGGAACAGGTCTACTCTGTGTGACAGGATTGCAATGACTCAGAACCGACTCTGAGACATTGGGTTTGGGGTTTTAAAAATACTTTGAAATCATTCCACTTACCTTTTTATCTCTGTATAAACATAAAATACCTAGACCTCAAGGTTGGTTTGAATCACAAAGTCGGCAGTTCAGATTCATCAGTCACTCCTTGAAACTTATACAGGGTCACTATGCATCGGAACTGACTCAATGGCACTTAACAATAACATGCATGATATAATGAAAAACAGATTTTATACTATAAAATTTAAAATAAAGAATTAGGCAATTACTTAAGTTTAAAAATAAAGTTATTACTGGTGATCAATATACAAACCTGTTGTTCTTGTTACGTGCCTTTGAGTCAGTTCTGACCCACAGCTACCCTATCCACAACAGAATAAAACACTGCCCGGTCCTGCACCTTTCTCACCATTGTTACACTTGAGCCCCTGCTATTGCCACTAGGTCATTCCATCTTGTTGGGAGTCTTCCTCTTTTTTGCTGACTCTCCACTTTACGAAGCATGATGTCCTCCAGGAACTAGTCCGTCCTGATATTATGTCCAAAGTACGAAAGACAAAGTCTCATCATCCTCCGTCTAAGGAGCATTCTAGCTATACTTCTTTCTAACAAAGATTTGTTTGTTCTTCTGGAAGTCCATGGTACTTTCAATATTCTTCACTAACACCATAATGTGTTTTATGGCAGGGGTGAGGAATGTTCAGCCTATGGGGCCATATAAGAAACAAGAAATCATTTGGACTGGCACTGCCAAGGCAAACGCAGTTCCAGCCATCACATTAGGGGTGAGTTAATTAAATGTTTGACCAAATATAGCAGGCTAATTTTTAAGTTAATTTTGTATGGCCCACAAATGATGTTATAAAAATCCAAATAAAAAAAGGTTCCCCATCACTGTTTTACCATCTTCATTATTCATTGTCCAACTCTCACATGCATATAAGGCAACAGAAAATATCATGGCTTGGGTCAGGCACAACTTAGTCCTTAAACTGACATCTTTGCTTTTTAACATTTTAAAGAGTATTATTGCAGCAGATCGTACTATGTAGTTTGATTCCTTGACTACTGCTTATATGAGCATTGATTGTGGATCAAAGCAAATTAAAATATTTAACAACTTCAAACTTTTCCACGTTTATCATAACATTATTTATTAGTCCAGTTGTGAGGATTTTTGTTTTCTTTACACTGAAGTGTAATTCACAGTAAAGGCTGTAGTCTTTGATCTTCATCAATAAGTATTTGAATTCCTTTTTACTTCCAGCAAGAAAGGTTCTGTTACCTGTATATCGCAGGCTGTTAATGAGTCTTCGTCCAATGCAGATGCCACATTCTTCTTCATATAATCCAGTTTCTTGATTATGTGTTCTGCAAACACATTGAATAAATATAGTAAAAGGATACAACCCCGATGCACACTTTTCCTGATTTTAAGCTCTTCATTATCCCTTTGTTCTGTTCAAATGACGATCTTTAAGTCTTTGTACAATTAAGTGTTCAGGAACACCAATTCTTCAAAAAAATATTAATTTATGATCCACACAGTATAATGCCGTTGAATAGCCACAATAAAGCACAAGTAAACATCTTTCTGGTATTCTTTGTTTTCAGCCAAGAGCCAGTGGACATCAACAGTGATATCCTTAATTCAGGTCTCTGACTATGACTTGAATTTCTGGTAGTTCCCTGTTGATGTACTGTTGCAATTATCTTCAGCAAAATTATTCTTGCATGTGATATTAATGATATTTTTCGATGGTTTCCACATTCCTTTGGGTTATCTTTCTTCAAAAATGGCATAAATATGGATTTCTTCTAATTGGTTGGCCAGGAAGCTGTCTTCCCAATTTCTTATGACATACACAAATGAGCACCTCCAATGCTGTATCCATTTGTTGAAAGATTTCAATCTGTATTCCATCAATTCCTGGATCTTTGTTTTTCTCCAATGCCTTCCATGCAATTTGGACTTCTTACTTCAATACCATTAGTTCTTGAACATATGAAACCTCTTGAAATGACTGAACATAAACCAATTTTTTTGGTACAGTGACTCTGTGTACTCCTGCTTTTGATGTTTCCAATATCATTCATTATTTTACCCATGTTGTTTTTGTTGATGAGTGCTGTCGAGTTAATTCTAACTCAGAGATACCTTGTATAGGGTTTCCAAGGAGTGGATGGCAGCTTTGAACACCAACCTTGTGGTTAGGAGTCCAGTGATTATCCTACAGTGCCACACCAAGACTCCTTCAATACTGCAACTCAAAGTTTGAATTCTCTCTTCAGTTCTTTCAGCTCAAGAAATGAGCTTGTTCTTTCATTTTCATTTTCTAGCTCTAGGTCTTGGCACATTCATTATAATACTTGACTTTGTCTTCTCGGACATTGAAATCTTCTGTTCACCTTTTACTTCTTAACTTCGCTGTAGATTCTCTAAGCTCAAGAGCATGTTTCAGAGACTCTTCTAATATCTTTTTTGGTCTTTTCTTTTGTTCCTGTCTTTTTAGTGACTTTTTGCTTTCTTCCTATATGAAAGTCATTAGTCTATAATGCATTGAATCTGTTTTTGCGATGATCTGATTTCTAAATTAAAGTGACCTAAGTTAAAGTTGTATGAACAAAACATGGAAACACTGAATGTTTTAAAATTAAGAAAGGTGTGCGACAAGGTTGTATTCTTTCA